TGTGTCTGTGTCTGTGTGTGCCGGTCCTCGGGCTGGAACTCAGGGCTCAAGTGTTATCCCTGAACTCTTTTTGCTCAAGGCTGGTGCTCTACCATCTGAGCCACAGCTCCACTTCCAGATTTTGGGTGGTTCATGAAAGTCTCAGACTTTTCCACTTAGGGCTGGCTTCGCACTGTGATCCTCAGAGCTGAGCCTCCTGAGTAGCCAGGATGGCAGGTGGGAGCCACCGTGCTCAGCAAATGGGAAGTTATTTTTGTTTTTTAAAATCAAGGTTCACTATATTCTAGTTTCTCCTTTGTTTTTCTTTTTGGGGTCAGTACTGGGGTTTGAACTCAGGACCTTGCACTGGCCAGGCAAATGGTCCACCACTCAACACAGCCCTCAGCCCTCAGTGCTGTCCTTTATTTGCCTCAGACAGTGTTTCCTGCTTTTGCCAAGAGCTGGCATCCAAATGAGATTCTTCTACCTCCACTGCTCAGAGAGCTGGGATTACAATTGTGTGCTACCAGACCCAGACCTGGTTTCTGCTTTCTCCTGTAACTTTTTTTTTTTTGTCTGTCATGGAGCTTGGGGTTTGGGCGCTGTCCCTGAGCTCTTGTGCTCAAGGCTAGTGATCTATCCCTGAGCCACAGCGCCACTTCCGGTTTTCTGGTGGTTCATTGGAGATCAGAGTCTCATGGACTTTCCCGCCCAGGTTGGCTTTGAACCGTGATCCTCAGATCTCAGCCTCCTGAGCAGCTGGGTTTATGGGCATGAGTCACCAGTGCTTGGCCTCTTGTAACATATTTTAAAGTCCACCTTGAATGAGAACTTCTTGGAAACCATAATATTGATTGTACTTTTTATTTTCACACACATACAAAAGCAGCTTATACTTGTGCTGAATACAAAAAAAATACAAAGAAACAGACACGTTATTGCACATGAAAAAATTGCACATGGAAAAATACTTAGGACAAAACTGGTTAGGAAAAAGCACATGCTGATGATCAGCCCCGGCTGGCCTCACACCCAGAGTTTCACCAAAGTTGCAAAGTATTTCCTTACAGATATGGACCTGCTTGCACTTTGCACACGCTCCAGCTTTTCACAAATGTTTTACAAATACTCTTCATATTCTTGGCTTCTGTTTCTTCTTTGAAAAAAACAATACACAGAGTTTTCTTCTTAAAGACAGACCTGTCTACCTTGAGGAGAACATAGAAAATCTCCTATTCTTTTAAGGAAAAATGTGTAAAGTTATTTGACAAATCACTCTACGTGGAGAAAATAGTACAAAGCTTAGTTTTATAAGCATTTGTCTACAAATAACATCTTGTGATATCAATCAAAATTCCCTTTATTTACTTTTTTTGGGGGGGGCTAGTACTAGGCTTGAACTCAGGGCCGGGGTGCTGTCCTCGATCTTTGCTCAAGGCTGGTGCTCTACCACTTGGCCCACACACTCACGTCCACCTTTTGCTGCTTCCTTGAAGGTAAGAATCACAAGGATTTTTCCGCCCTCAGATCTCAGCCTCCTGAGCATCTGGAATGACAGGCGTGAGCCACTGGCACCAGGTCTTCACCTTCTTATATTTTTCTACCATCTTTTAACTCCTCCGAATAACGAGAGTGCATGACAGGTTGCTTATGTTTTGTAGTCATTCAACAATAAATAATAACTTTAAATCTGCTCATTATATTACCTCTGGCTTTAAGAAAGTTCATAAAGTGCATGTCAACAATTTTACAATCACAATTTTTGCAGGGGGGGGGATTGATACCGGGATTTGAACTCAGGACAGGTGCTCTACCCCTTGAGTCACGCCCCCAGTCATCATTCCCTCATTCCTGGATATGGTTATGCATCTGTCTATCATGTTGGCTTGCGGCCAATAGCATCCTGGCTTTGTGGAATGTCTCTCTGCTCCGTCCCGCCTTTCTGTTTAGATTTCGAAGAGAACTATGAAGTTTGCTCCTCGAGTCTTTTCTTTTTAAGTTCAGAGAGTAGCGTCCATCCCAACAGCTTCACGGTTCCAAGGCCTCCATGTACACATAGTCCACGGTTACCTGTTTCTGTTTTTGTTGTGTGTGTGTGTGTGTGTGTGCACTGGTCCTGGGGCTTGAACTCAGGGCCTGGGTGCTGTCCCTGAGATTCGTTTTTCTCAAGGCGAGCGCTCTACTGCTTGAGTCACAGTGCCACTTCGGACGTTTTCTGAGTAGTTTGTGGGAGACAAGGCTTTCCTGCTGGGACAGATTTCCGACCTCCGTCCTCAGTAGCGCCGGCCTCCTGAGCAGCTGGGATTACAGGCGTGAGCCACCATACCCCGCGACTTCCTTTGTTATCTGATGTCTTTGCTGCAAATCCACGGCAGTCTCTCCTGACAGTCCATCTGACCCACATCTGTGCTGTTGAGAAACGCACACCGCTCCGATTCTGTACGGTTGAACCTGGTGAATCAGAAAGCAATCTGGGATTATTTCTGGCAGGTCATTTCCACTCAGCTACCTGAGAATCATCGCTTCTGAGTGGCGGCCTTTGCTCCTCTGTGTTGCTATGGTCAGGAGTCTGACAGTCTAATAATCAAATAATCATAATTTAATGCATATAGATAAGTGCCAAGAAGGAAGAGAATTTCCTGGGTGGGTGGGTAGGGCCAAGGGTGAAGTGCTCCATCAATCCCTTGTCATGTCTTCAAAGGATGATTCTTTTTCTTTTGTCAGTTGCAGGACTTGAACTCAGGGCCTGGGCGCTGTACCTGAGCTCTTCAGCTCAAGGCTTGCGTTCTATCACCGCAGCCACAGCTCTACTTCTGGCTTTGTGGTGGTTCATGGGTGATAAGAGTCTCATGGACTTTCCTGCCTGGGTTGGCTTTGAACCTCCATCCTCAGATCTCAGCTGCCTGAGTAGCTAGGATTGCAGGCGTGAGCCACCAGCACCTGGTATACTTTTCTTTTTAAAGAGACTGAGAAATTCGTCCAACTACATTTTCCAACAGCAAAGATAAACACATCCCTCAAGAAGCTAATGCCATTTAACTACAGGTAATGACCACAGAAGTGGTAAGGTTCTTTAGGTTATTTACCAAAAAGCCAATAATAAATTAGGTATTAAAA